TAAAACTGTTTCCCACAAATATTTGTGTTTGTAGCCTATCTTCAATGTAGTCCCTTTGAATTCAGTGATAGTTCTCAGAGACAATAACTTGAGCAGAAGGATCTGTGTGTAGGATCACAGAAATGTGATGGCTGTACATAGCAACATACTTAATGCTAGAGAAAAAGAATAGTTTTGAAATTACTTTTTTATTTCAAAGACTTCATGTAAATAACTGCAGATTACTCAGTAAAAGAGTGACCAAATGATCCACACTTGCACGGTTAAAACCTAAATGTTTACAACTCGAATTGACCCATGCCATGTTTTTGTTTATATTCATTTTTCATCCTGTTTAGAGTACACAGGCTTATATAGATCTTTATTACTAAAAACAAATCAGAACTATTTTAGCCTTTAATCCCACTGGCATTTACTGAGGAGGGAGCAAGGAATGTGTCTGAAAGGGTCTGGCTGCTAAGAGAGACCAGCCCCTCAGCATGTGTGGCTGCAGCAGGGTGGCTAAAAACTGAAACTGGACACCCACTGTGGGTCTTTCTTTGTGAGTTTAAATCCTACCAGCTATGGAGTGGTAGCAATTCCAGCTACTGAAAGTCTCCCGCAGCATTTCCAGGATTATCTGTTTCTGTAGGGTCAGAACTGCCTTTGAGAGGGGGGAGGATGAAGAAAAAGGTGCAGAGGAAAACAAGAGTGGTACCTGGGAAAGGAAAAATATTTTTTTTCTTTTGAAACAAAAGGGCTGTCTTTCCAGTGGAGCTCGAAATCTTAACATTTTCCTTAGTTCTTGTTTTGTTCCAATTGGTTCACTTTTTGTGAGTCCTTAGAGCTCTCCCATGTTTTATGGGTGAGTCTCCTCCAAAGCTGAGAGGAAGCAGATGCAAGGCCTGCAAGGGCTGCAGTCTCCACACACTGTAACACCAGCTGCAAGGATTAAATTGTCATCTTATGCTCAGTGCTGGCAAGAGCTGAGTATGTGACAGAGATGGTGACAGTGGATTTCATGTCTGGGTGGCAGTTACTTTGAATATCACTCACACCACACACATCAAGCCAGCCTGCACATTAGTGCCTGTGACTGGGATCAGTCTGAGCAGTCATTACGTTGCCATTCTTTCTTCATCTTGTGTGCTGTCACACACTGCAGCACTCCCTCCCACAAAACTCCTCCCAAAAGCAGGTTTCAGTTCATACATGCCATGTGGCAGAGTGGATCTGTCTCTTCTTCTTGCTCAAGGACATGGTTCCACCTTCACAGACAATATTGACAATAATTTGCAGGTGAAACTCAGCCTGTGTGTGAAGCACACTGTTCCCAAGCAGAGACCTGTTGGAACTCTGGAAACTGGGAATTTTAGACTTTCTGTGCTGACAGGCACTGACCCCCAGGAAAACACTGCTTTTGACCTGAGGCCATGGAGAAGGCTTCCAAAATTGAGTTATAGAACTGGGATTACATCTGTGTAGTTTGAATGGAAGTGTGTAGTATCACGATAGAAAATTTAGAATTTAAGGTTTTAGAAGATAGTAATACATAGAAGGCAATATGAAGGTTTTAGGACAGAGATTTCTTTCTTCACCTTCTTCTTCATGGGTATAGATGGTACTTTTGTAATTGGATAGAGAATTCCACAGACCTCCAGCCAGCTGCAGGGCTGGTGCAGAGGAGCTCAGACAAGGACCTGGCAGGACACCTCTGACCCAGGTCAGCACCTGGGGACACGCTCTGGCTCTTGGCACAGCCCATTATGTGACACCACCATGCATGTCAGTCCAAGTTAATGTCAGCCTGTAAATTACAGCAGCTGAGGAACCAGCACACATTTGCTTCTGCTGTCTCTCCTCTGTGGTGGCCATTCCTGGCAGAGAGGCAGCAGAGACAGCTGGAGGTGGCAGCTTCTCCAGCTACTTGAGCTTGCATTGCCAGGGCTTATCATCTGTGCACAGAGAAAACTCCAGCAAAAGTTGTTGCATGGCTTTACAATTTTGCCCGTGGATGAAGCAGCAAAATCCAGAAAAATCATGCTGGCACAGTACAGCTCACCAAAAGAACCTAATGTTCCTGCATTAGCTCTTCACCGTTTTTAAAACCAACTTATGGTAAGGAGTCCTGTGCTGATAATAGTTATTCTGACATGTCAGGGTTCTAAAGCACAAAGACTTGCCCTGCATTTTTGTAAATTTTTCTCACATTTATTTTTAAAGGCCACACAGCTCAGATTGTCAGGACACTGGATGTTACATACACCCAAGTGTGATCCAAGCTGAGATCTGTAAGGAGGAGTTGTTCCAGTCTGCCTATAGAATTTGCTATCACTCTCCCATCTTTAAGAGGGGTGGTTTTTAAGCTGATAGACCAGAGTGCAGTGGCATCAGTTTTCTTTATTTCCTTGCCACTCTCTGAAGCTAAACCAGCAGTTTGTACTGGAGTGTGACTTGGCACTTGAGGTCTAAACCTTCATTAAGCTGAAATCTGGGTACGTTCTATTTTTACAAAATGCTCATTTTTGCTGATTCTCTCTCCACTGCCAGAACGAAGCTGGTTATTGGGTGCATTTCTATTCTGTGTGACAAACACTACGACAGGTAGCAGAAAATACTCATCTGCACATGGTTTATGATTCAAACACTAGAGGACACCAGTCTGCAGATCCTGCAGTAAAGAAATCACATGGATTATGTAGTGAGATTACACATCATTTCTGTACTGTGCCCCTCCCACAGGTGTGCTCACTGGGTTTGGAATTTTGCAATTCTTTTTAATATTATTTGATGCAGTTGAATCTCTGTTTAATCCTTTTCTCTTTTAATTTCTTTTCTTCTTTTCTTTTCTTTTCTTTTCTTTTCTTTTTATATTTTTTTTAATTGAAGCAGCAAAAGTGGTTCCTTAATCCTCTCTTTAAACCTTTGCTGGTAGCTACTAAGTGGTGTTATTTATAGCCCAGGCAAGACTGGATGGTTTATTATAATGGTTACTCAAGCCTAAACATTTTTATAATTATTGCCAGAACTACTGGTGCCATGTTGTGTTGTGAGGCTTATACAAAAGTGCTGAGAACCTTTACTGGTAATTCCTCAGCTTTCTTTTCTGTCCTCTGTCCTGCACAATTTCCATGCAATAAAGATTTGAACCTTCAGGACTGACAAATCTGGACAGGCCACAAACTTTGCAGCAGTTCCCTCAGAAGAAGCAGCTCACCAAACTGGAATGTTGAGGGGCAAAAAAAAGAAATTATCTTGTTTTTCTGATATTTTTGTTCTTCATTTGCAGTGCTGTGGTACCAAAGGGGCATTCTCTCCAGACAATTTGGGCCAAGTGTGTCTGTGTTTGTGCAGAGTCTTAGTGACATTGGGCTGAGTCCTCAAAGTTCAATTTGTCAAAAAGACGAAGGACCTTAACACCCCTGGATTTTTATAGAAAAACTCAAATGCTTTCAGAGATCCAAAGGCAGAATTTCAGCACAGGTTTAGTGGCCTGGCAGCTGGTGGCCCTCTGCACATGGCATATGGATGGACCTGGCTGTTAGGAATGTGGCTGTGGGACATTCCTGGGTTTTGGCATGGGCTGCAGCAAAGTGGCTCTGGGAACCCGAGCAGGATTCCCTGGTGCCTTCAGAAATGTTAGGTTGTATTACTTGTACATCCTCAGGATTAAGTGACTTAAGTAGATTTTTTTGTGCTAATGAAATTTTCTTCTGACTCTAATCTGCAGGAACTGTGGGGGAATTTTGTCTTCCTCTGCAGCAAGAGGGAATTCTCCTTCTCCTGTGTTCCTCAGTTTGTTGTAGTTTGCCTGCAAAGACCACCTGGCCTGAGTGGGAGGTCTAGAAAATGAGCAGCCACAAAGCACAGAACACATCTTTTATTCAGTAAGCAAGCAAGCACAGAAGAATAATGTGTAGTGCTTAATATTCATACAGTACTAAAAATATAAAAATAGAAATAAAATTTCACTGAAAGCATTTTCACTCACAAATATACAAGTAAAAGTGCTGTCAAGCCACATCATGCTACACCACTTGCCAGTGCTGAACTGACAGTTTCCCAACAGAACTGAAACACTAAAAACTAGTCCTTCCTCACAGTTTTTGGTGAGCCTGAACATTTGACTAGCAAAAATGGGCCTCCTGCAGCTGAGAACCTAAAAAGCATAGATGTCATTACATTATGGAATAATAAAATAATTTGGGAGAGTTCTGTAGTGATAGTAGCCTGCTTCAGGCTGTTTGTGTAAAGACTAAAAAAAGATAAGAGAAATAAACTTGAATCCTGATTATAATCCAGATCAGTCATGGCTAACAATTCCTGGAACTTATTGTGCATGGATATTTGTGCAATACTCCCACCTGCTGGCATATCCATCACCTCTCTTCCTCAGCTGCTCAGCTCCCTTTGCCTGCTTTACACTGGCACAGATCTTCCCCTTAGGTCTGGTGGAGTCCAGGAGAACAGCCCATAAACAGTGCCCTCACCTTTTAGTGGAACTGGAGCTTACCCAGCACCTTAGCTCCTGGGGCTGCCCCAAAAGGGAGAAATTCACACTGCAGAGTGATATGGGCTGCACTGATTCTTCAGGAAAATCCCTGCACCAGGTTCCTGGCTTTTAAGCCCCATTTTGAGTGAGTGACCTAGAGCTGAGAGCTCGAGAATCTTCTCTCTGCTGTCCCTGGGCATGGAGCTGGATGCCTCCATCAGGAAGCCAGCTCTGAGCTGTCTCCATAAAGGCATGGGTGGGACCTGGGACCAGGCTGACAACCAGAGCTGTAAATCACAACAAGCCCTGCCTCACAGAGTGTGCCAGTGCACAGAACCTACTCAAATCACACAGATAAGGGTGTGCAGAACCTAATGTGAACCCCACTTGGGTCAGTTCCTATTTTGGAATGGGATTTATTTATTCTTGGTTATACCTGCTATAAAAATAAATGTGACAATTAACCCCTGAGATCATTCTAGCATACTGTTTTGGCCTGTTACTTGTTTCCCTCAGAAATAAATTTTTATTTGGTTTACGGATGTTTATTTAGGTTCTAGTGACAAGCTTTTATAAAACACATTAAATAATCAATGTGGGGCTGAAAAGGTGTACATTCTAGTTGCATATATGATACATACCTTATACGTATATAATACATTCCATAACAGCTGAATGTTCTAGTATTGTCTGGGAAGTCCTTGCATGTGGACAAAGGACTGAAATACTAGAAGATAAACAGCTGTACAGGATCAAAGATAATTGCATCTGATATGGTTTACTTAGATTGTTTTTCTTTCTTTAAATCTTATTACACATAATAGCTACAGTAGTTTGTCCAGCAGGTAATAAATGAATGCATAAAGCACTTCTAGCTATATCTGGATATCATATGCATGCATTTCTTATAAATAAAAATCGAATGTGAGGTCACATTTTCCCATCTTCTGTTTATAAACTAAATCAAATTTCTCATTCATTGAAACAGTGAAGATGTCTTTCCATAGCCCAACTCGTCCTGAAACAGAGAAAGAACACAAGTCAGAGAGAGGATGTAACAGGACACCAGATACCCACAGTCTAATTGTGCAGGGCACCAAGTATCAGCTGGGAGATTCTGATCAGTCTGGGTTTTCTCTGAAAGCTTAATGAGACCTAAGGCTGTTCACTGTCTCACCCAATTACTCTGGCACCACCCTTGCAAAGCCTTCAAACAAAACCACATATGTCATTAGCTGCACCAGCCCAGGGTTACACAGGAAAAATTCAGATTTCTGCGAGACTTTTACTCTGGCCTTAATCAGAAATGAACAGACATTTTGGGTTGGGTGTTCACTTAAATGTGGATTTCTGCTTTCAGTGCAAGCTATGGCTTTTAATAACTCCAACAGGTAACAACACATTTCACAATCACTGTGCCTCCAGCACCCACTGCTTAGAGAACTGTCCAAAAGGTACAGGGAATGTGGGGTATAAAACTGACTACTGAAGTGTAGTATTTTCATTGCTAATTTCTATTATTTTGTGTCTGGAGATAAATCCAACAGATGAATTTCCATTTCTCAGCATGGAGAGATTTGTTTGTTAAATATGAGTTTCTGTCTATGAAAGAGAACAAATGCCATGCACTCAAGTTGTGCCACTGGCATTTTAATTTTGAACATGAGGAATAGGAAGCTTTTGGAGGATGCAAAATATGGACACTGAACACATTCTTCATATGAATTAATCTATGGAACCCAACCAATAACATGACCTGGTGACCCTGCTGAACTTACCAGCCAAAGGCAGCAGCCCCCTTAACAACTATTTCAATGCTCCCCAAAATATATTTAACTCAAAGTCAGCCGGGGTTAGTTGTGGCTGAATAAGCCTGAAGGAATACTCAGACTGAGAGGCTCAATTCGCTTCTCATTTATGCTGGAGATAAAGACAAAATCCAGACTTGTTCAACTGGAATAAATGAAAGGAGAATTGGGACTGTGCTACCAGAGTTTAATCATAACAGCAAGAACAAAGCTACATGCAGGGAGCTTAATTATGCATTTGATGCTCAAGAAGAATACCCATTTAATTCAATTACCATTGCTTTTATGCAGCAACTTTATAGTTGAGACCAAAGACAAAACTGTCTGCAACATCTACATATTACTTATTAACATGATGGTATAGCATGTGTGGCAAAGGCCATTTTAATGAAATCATGGCTTTCCTAAAACTCCTGAAGGTATGAAAGTGTCCTGGTTTTTTTTCAGGATCCAAAGACCAGAAAAACCTGACACTGAAAATGCCATTTATTGTTTTCATCAAATTTCTCATGTGTTTTTAAAAAAATGAATTAAGGAATGTTACAATCATAAACATCTGATACTAAGTTAAATTTTGCTCTGGCAACTATAACTGCAAAATCTACAGCATGAAACACAAAACCCTGTATTTCCCATTCAATAACGATAATAAAATATTTTCTTCCTCTGCTTGGTAAAGAAGATCCTTTTATTTCTGAGTCTCCCTAAAAACATGTATGGACAAATGACAAGTTTTACAAATGACATACACACACAGTGGATTATTTGTAACAATTTGTTTTCCTTTTTACCATATGAATTGATAGCTTGTCAAAAAGTCACCCACCTGGTTTATGATTTGAATCATGCAACTGCGTAAATTATGATGTGATAAGAGTCAAATACAAGTAACATATCTAATCATTGCTCTGCTTTCACAGCAGTTCAGGGTTATCTTCAGAGTAAAGATCAATGTGCTAAAAGAAAAAAAAAATGAAGAACTAAAATAAAATAAAATAATAAAGTAAATGTAACTAATGACAAATTAAAATATTTGAAACAAATTACAATCAGCTGTCATGTCATTGCCACCATTCTTTGTCACAGAAACAAACAGAGAAGGAACAAAGCACTGCTAATGAAGCTACATTCTGGAGTAACAAAATATTGTAAAAGCCAAAGACAGCAAAGAAAAGAAATTCAAAATAAGGATATTTGTACTAAAAAGCACACAGCGAACAAATGACAAAGTATCACATTAAATACTGTAGCTCCCTTCCTCTCTATTACAACATGAAGGCTTCTTTCTGAAACATTTGTAAACTGTAGAAATAAGAAGGTCCATGTGGGCCAACAAGGAGAACACAACTCTGCTGTTTGTAAAGCCTTGCACTCACACGAGCACCTCATCCAAGGACCTTGGGATGTCCCAACCAAATGTATGATAATTGAATAAATAACCAGCTAACACAGAATTAGTAGTCAAGAGGGACCAGTAATATTTGGCATTTTCATCAGAGATTTGAAAATACCTATCAAAATTGCAGCTGGTATAATTTGTAGCTCACATGAAGGGTGGTTGAAAGTGGTAGTATGGAAAGGGCTCCTACACACAGAAATCTAAGACCAAAGTATTCCTGTCATAATCCCTGGGTAAGGGACAATAACCTGTAAATCTATTCCTCTGAGAAACTTTGTGGTCATGATAAACATGTGCTTCATGTGTGATGCTGTACCATAAAGTGCTATGGGTGGAAAACAAGGGAAAGTTCCAAACAGAACTAGATTAAATTAGTGCACGAAGTGATTTTCTATTTAGATAAGGCATATGGTGGGATAACATAGGAGCTGATCATCTTAACCTGGTTCCCTCGTTTTTAAAAGTGACATAGAGCAGCCCACAGAAAATAATTTGACTGAGCCTAAGTTCACCCTTATGCTTCTCAAGGGCAACTGAAAGGACCTGATTTCTTATCAAAGGACAGATGCATCAACAGATCACATGGCACCTTCAGGTTCCCAGAGAAAGAATCTCACCAGAATGAACATGTAGAAGATAAATGCATCTTAAAGAGCTGAGGTAGAAAAAGAAAATAAAAAAGCTTATAAGGGAAGCTGTGGTTCCTTGTAATTTTATGCCTTCCAAATTAGAAATATCTGCTATTCTAGAAAACCTGACCTACTTAAACCCCAGGGCTCAGGCCAGGATAAACTGAGATGGTGTGGGCTGTGGCCTGCCAAAGGTCAGAAGGAGCAGTGCAGAGCTCTCAGCACGAAGAGCTGAATCCATCAAAGCAAGACAAAGACTCTGTGATGGAGTGATTCGAAATTACTCTGGTAATCTCAGATTCTTCCATCCTTTTCACTCACTTCTACCTAACCTGATTTGAAAACAACCCAGCCCCCAAATTGCACCAACAGTCAGCTCCCTCCCATCCTTTACATGGCAATATTTTGCCAATATCTAACACACCCTGGGGGTAACTAAGCTGCTTCTTGCAACTTCTCCAAGAAGAGTTTTGCTGTGGGTTTTAAACATACCCCTGCCAACAGGAAGAGCCTCTGCATTACAGCACTGATCAATGAGTTGATGGCAGTGTTCCACCATGGTTTCCAACTGTGCTTTGTCATAAGAAACTCCTAAGAACCTCACCAGCTGCTCAACCATTGTTGCTAGGTCCTGTAAGAGAGCATTTAAAACCCGGGTTATTTCACAATATTTAAAATCACATTTTTAATGAGTTTAAATATTTCAAAGTAAGTTATACCCCAGTGAGTGTGAAAAATCCAAGTGCAGAAATTGTAGAAACACCACTGCCTTGAAGTTCTGTCACCTTCCAATTTGCAGAAAAGAAACACTCTGAGTAATTAGAGTAAGGCAGGTTGGCAGAAATCATGGCCATGTAACCTTCAGGTGTTGGAACAGGGAACAACTGGAAAGTAATTGTGATGCTTCCCACTTCAGAGAACATCCCACCCTTAACTGATCCCGTTGGAATACCAGTGCATTTCAGAGGATCTAAAAGTTACTTTGATTTTGACCTTAGTCAAATAAATGACTAAAAATGTTAGGAGAGCCCTTCTTCCTTTGTCAGCTTCTGGGACTGCATTCATGTAGATGGGGAGGATGTGGGGAGGTGGCCTCTGAGAATAACCATGAATTTACATCTCCAGAATTCCAGGGCTCCTCAGTATGAGTTGCAAGGACAAAATAGTAATATTTATCAGGAAGCAGAAGGATGCTGTGATGCCACCAGCTGGTGAGCACAGCTAGGAATACATTAATTATTCAAAACCATGGGATTGAAATAGTTTTGCCTAAACTTTAGTTGCTCTGATTGTATTACACCTTCTTTTAAAATCACACTCCATCAGAAGGCTCAGTAAAGCTGGAATTATAATTTACCCAGTTTTATTGAGTCTTGTCCTGATTTTTTCTTTTTACAGGTTTAGAAACAGGAACTGGATTTTTCATATATTTGCATTAGTTTTCCAGCCAAATAAACATTCTGAAGTATTTTCATTAGCTCTCAAAAAGATATTACTGCAATAAGAAATACGTAATATTTCCACTTAGATTTCTGATTTAAGTGGATTTCTTAGCCAGCATACCGTAAGGCCTTAATAATTATATCCACCTTATGCTACATAATACCCTCATTATTTTCAGATTTGTTTCACAGAAAGCAGTAATAATCACAATAAAAGTGAAATAGTCATGATAAATGCAAAATACATAGGACAAAATAATGATTATATATTTTTTCCCTCATTGATACAGCACATACAACAAGACATTTCTTTTAAATGAATGGCCAGGGCTGAGTGTAGCAAGTACTGAACAGTTTCACATCACTGCCTTCTCTGCAAGTAGTTCAGTGCCTGTAGATGCAAGCAGACTCCCCAGAAAATTAATATGGATATGAAAATGCCAAAAGTCCATAGATGCAACTGAATTTTTAAAGAGAATGCTTTAAAAATGGTATCAGGCATTAGGGAGCCCAATACTGATATAAGAATGTAATTTTGTGGTTTATGTTTTTTAAAAGCCAGGATGCTAAATGTGATTAAAATACCATTTTGCTGCATCTAACCTACCTTATGCATATCTTCATACTTGAGGAAAAGTACATTGGCATCCATGTGGTGCTCCCAAAACTCTTGCACGTGTTCAAACCACGAACCATATCCTACTACAAAAACATTATGATTGGCATGAGGAAAATGAACACTTTGGTTATTAAGCCGTTTTCAAAAAGGAAAAGAAAAGAAAAATGAAATAACTGAAGTGGTTCATAGCCCCAGGAGAGCAGTGTCTCATTTTGACCCATGTCATGGGAGACCTCATCCTCCCCTCAAAACTTTACTCATTTGTTTTCCAGTTCTCTGATTAAGTCCACATTTACACTGATTTCAGTCAATTTTTATGTCTCCACCAGAAGTTTCTTCAACCAGAGATTCAAGAATCTCTTCTTTTGCCAATATTAGAAGACAACCCCACGAGAAATGCATTCTGCATTTTTCTGTTACCAGTGACTAAAAGTACTTCACATTACGTAATTAATTAAGGTAGAAGTTAGGCAAATAAGAAGAACTTCTGCCTAATTAAGGTAGAAGTTAAGCAAATAAGGAGATTTCCAATTCTTTCCCAATGTTTTTTTGGTCAATTTTATCTCTTCAGCAAAGGAGCTATAGAAAAATTTCAAAACCAACTTCTCAGGTTTGTATTTTGAAGCCGTCTTTTCTCTTTGAAGAAGAATTGTTTCATTCTGGTAACTGGAACACTGCTGTATTACCTTCATGCATCCATTTCTCATGGAATGGGAATAACAAAAATGGAATCTTAGTGCCTTTATAAAATTTGAAAATTGGTCAGTTGAATGAAATTGTTTTCCTATGACACTGATCTCTTTGTCCCCTGGACATGTTTCCAGGATCCTGCTGAGATGTAAACACCCAGCTAAATGCTAAATTTACTGTATTGTAAACATCCCATTTGCACAATTACGGCCTCAGAACATGCTGTGGTGTTTTACTGGCTCTGGGAGGTTGTGATGAAGTCAGGTGGCTGCTAAAGATAAAGAGACAAATAACTCTTGGGATACTCACATGGAAAAGAGACCTTTCTATCTTAGAGGACCTCCTAACGTGTCTTTCTTTTGTCTCTGGTCTAGCAGTTCCTGATCAGAGGCTACAGACAAACACTGAATTCTCAGGGAATGCAAATGGAAAACTGAAGGTGGGCTGGAATGGGAGGAGAGCATTTATCCTGCTCAAGCTTGCAGGATAAAGAGCAGCAAAGGTTTTTTAAGGCCTGTTAAATAACTTCCATTGGTAGGCTTTACTTTTTTCTTCCCTTTGGTATTACACAGCTCCTTCAGCATCAGTTCTCCCCCTAAATTCCAGGTTTGCTGCTCTGGATCTAGAAGAGATCCTGCTCTCAGAGCTCAAGGCACCTGGTGAATTCTTAGTGTCACATTAAGTTGTCAGAGGAGATATTGCAGAGAAATAAAAGGCAGCAGGATTTTTTTTCTCTTCCTCAGCTAGAGAGTGTGGCAATCCCTTGGTAATTGCACTCTCCTCACAGAGCTGCATCTTTCAGGCATTTGCATCTGCCTTCTCATGGGGTCTCACTTGAGCTCACTGGTGCACTCCAGATCAGGCCCATGCAAACTAGAGAATTTTGTGCTAAATTGCAAGGGAGAAACCTTGAGGTTTTGGCTGTAATTTAAATATTGAAGGAATTACCAGGAAAATAACCCTAAACCTGAGACCAGATACACTTCTGAGAACAGCTGATAGTGAGGAATAACTGAAATCAAATCATGCTGGGAGTATTCACCATTTCTTAGGAGGTACCTGGCAGCCTGCAAACTGAATTTTAGAAGAGCAGACCAGAGTTTTGCTCTGGTTCAGGTGGAAAATTGCTGAACCCAGGGGGTCAAATACTGTAAGGCAAATATTTGCAAAAAGCACAGCTCATAGTTTGCATGGACAAATCTCAATCCCCGCAGTGCTATCCATAGCAACCTCCTTGCTGTATATGCAAAACAAATGCACCTTTATCCAGCTCACTTCTGTACTTGCAGAAGGAAAGCAGAGATGAAAATAAATGTGTGCAGAGAGAACAGCTCCTTACACTTGTCATTCATAAACCTTCTGCAGAACTCCTGAAACGTTCCTCTGTAGCTCATGGTCCTTAGGGAGCGGTGGAACTGGTAATAAGACACCACCAGGTCTTTGGGGTTTCGAGCCATGTATATTACCTGTGATGGGGGGAAAATCATCTTATTGAAAGCTTTCTCCTCATCCCAAAGCACTCACACAACTGCTGCCAGCAGAGTTCAAACAAACACGAGCTCATTTTCACCTTTGAGTTGCCGTTGTGGAGGTCTGAAGGCAAAAACCGATAGGGCAGGTGGCTTTTGATGAGGCGAGGGGATGTCAGCTCCTAAAATAGAGCAGAGAGAATCATTTCCTATTGAGCTCTGCTCCAGGGCACATCCTGAGCTGTCCTGAACTGTCACACTTGAGGCCCTCTACTACACTGACTTCCATTCACAAATTCACTTCCTAAAATCAACAGGAGTTTGGGACTCAAAATCAGGTCAGAGAGTTATATCTGTTTTTTAAATATCAAAAGGTTGGATAACGTGTTGGAATTTTGTAATTTCGGGGTTTTATCCCTTTTGTTTTCAAAGTACTTCCATTTGCAGGACCTTCTCAGAAAGAGAATATAACAGTTGAAGATCCATATTTCCAGTGATGCCTCCACTAAAAATTCCTGAAAAATATTAGAAGCTCTGAAAACATCCCTAACTTCTTCCAAATTTTACCCTTGCATTTTATTTTATCCTCAGAATTAGGCCCAAAGGTTTATCTGAATGTGCAAACATCTTTCAAACAATTTTTTTTCTGTAATTTGATACCAAATTGTCTCATGACATAAATCATGCTCTGCTATTAAAAATGGAATAAATCCATCTTGAATGAAGCTGCTAGCACGTGGCATAGATAAGAATGTGTAATCTCAAACTAAACCTCTTACTATTGCCACCACTTTTTTGCAGCAGGGTAGCACTGAGGTCTCGCTGGATTAGATGAAAAAGAAGAGCAATCTCTGACCTCTAAATACTCTCAGCCTAAAGTAGGCTGAGGCTGCAAATTGACCACAAGCAGCTTAATTCCATCCCTGCCAGCCTCAGCTTTCTCAGTCCAAGCAGCATTGCAGCTGTTACAGGATGGCCCTGTGTAGTTTTCCTAATAATTCCAAGATCACACTTAATGTGCCATGCAGCTGGACTCCAAAGGATACAGTGGGGTTTTCATGCAGGATATTCCAGGCCCCTCAAACTACACCCTCAGTGTCTACAGAGAGCCAGGATCTGTGGATCTAAAGACTGAGATGTGTAAATTCAGAGCAGCTGGAATACAAATGCATGGATATCTGCATTTTAAGTTCCTCTTTCACAAATTCAGGGAAGGAATCAAAGCAAATTTGCCTCATTTGGCCAGCTCCTGTTTACATAAGCAAAAGAGGCCTGGAACTTTGATTCAGAAAACCCACTGCCAAGATATTTAGGACATGGAGACACATTTAAAATATTAAACAGAACACAATGAAACTTAATAAAAGCAATTTAAAACAACCTAATAACACTGTGAATCATTGCAACATTCTGAACACGTCCAGTGATGAAAAGGAGAGGACACTGGATGAAATGAAGTAATAAACATGGAACTGAGGAAAAAGACACCCAAATGCTGGAAGAGTTTCTTTGCAATAAATTGTACCTTGATGATGTCCAGACCGGGCTGAGGGTACTCTAGGACTGGAAGTTGCTCATCTATATTCATTAGTCCAATCTCATCTGGATCAGCTCCCTGACTCACTAGATACACCACTTCCTGCAGCAAGCCTGTGCCTGCATGAACCAAACAATGAAAGAGAACAGATTGTATTACAGCTCTTATCTAAACACAACCATATGAAGGGAGACCTAAACACAGAAATAATGGCAACTTTTGTCCTCAACAGTCTGCTGTGAGCTAAGTCTATTACTACTGTTTTAATGTAGTATGTCAGCTCTCTTAGTTTTATTTTAAATGTAGGTCTTTCATGCAAAAGACCTGAAATTTTTTTTCTTCAGTAACAATTTAAGTACACTTTTGTCTCCAAGTCACTTAACTTGTGAGTTGCAAAGCATTTAACAAAAGGTTTCACCTCTGTAAATGTTACCTTGGCAAAACAGTGCTATTTCCATTTCAGAAACTAAAAAATGAGGTAAACAGAGGTCATCCAAGTTCACAAAATGCATTAGTGGCTGTGCTGAGAGACCTTTATTCTCAATTGCAGGCAAGGCCCCTGTTATGCAATGATTTGAGAGTCTATTTATGCCTCCAGGTTATGGAGTGGACAAAGCCCCAAACACATCCATGCACAGTGAGTCAGTCACAAGCTTCAGAAGCCTCAATTACTCATCCCTCCCCACTCTGAGGACATTTACAAAGCAACCATTAGATATCATGGCCAGTGGCTGCACTTTGGAAAATTAATAGGTACTTCAATTAGACTTTTGGACAGGGAAACTGTTTCAAAGTGACTTTACCTTCAGGCAGGTAGGGAACCCTCAAAACAGAGGGTCTTCTATAATATCTAAATAATACCAATATAATATGTCAAAACAGAGATATTTCACAGAGGGTTATGAAGAGAAAGGCTCTTGGTGAGATGGAGGAATAGAATGGGGACAGATCACAGCAAGCCAGGGGAGGGACCCCACAGTTTAGATGGGAAGTCTCAAGGGTGTGGGACACCCTGGAAACTGCAAAAGACAGACCCATTATTTAAGAGTTGTGAGCACTAAGGGAAATGAGACCAGGATTTATTCACTCTCTCGTGTTGCCTAAAGGAACAAGTAATGGTTCCAGAACTGGTTACAAAGCCCAAGCCTGCTCCTGCAGCCCAGTCCTTGGAATGTAAATTATGACCTGTAAACTCTGAGATCATGACCATTTGGAATTGAAAATAATTTGTGAATTGCAAGTCACTTGTAACAGCCACTAGTTAATTCATGTTAACTAACAAGGTAGTACACACAAACAGGCACGTTTGTACCAATCCTGTATGTTGTTCCAACACAAAAAAACCCCAAACAAACCACAACACACACACAAAAAAAAAACCCTACTGAATCTTTATTCTGGTTATTTTTTAATCTGAGACAGAAACAGTTAAGTGAGACCAATGGTAGGAGTGTCTGTCTGGACACAATGTGAAGGAACACACACCTCCAAGAATTGTTTTGGATAGTAAGCCCTTCAAGATTCCTCTGTTCCCTTACAGATTGATGGTTAAGTTAAAAAGGTTTGGGACAGGAAAAAAAAAGACACTTTTACATTATCATCACCCACAGAGACAGCTGTCACACACTTAATACCCACTTGTCCCCAAGGCTGTTATCTCTGCGTTTTTAAGTTCAAGCATATATTTTATGCATTAAAATTAACATTCATACAGTACTTTATTATCAGTCATTGTGACTCTGAATGAGCACAACCCTTGTTCTCATTAAATATTTATTCTGACCGGAAACACCCTGTAATTTATTTCAGTATTTCCAATTCCACCTGCAAAGAGAAATGCTGTTACAGCAGCCCTGTTTCCATGAAAGGAAAATAAATAACTCGGTGGGGATACACAATAAACTATTTTTTCATTGCTCAGCTGCTCTCTAGGCAAAAAGCTGCCATCTCTATTGTGCTGCTGAATACAGAAGAGCCACAGGGTTGAGGAAGAACCACACTGAAACTTTGGGAGAGCAGCACATTCCCTCCCAGCTCCCCACAAAATCCCCCAGGAAAGTTCAAAGTGATGGACAGGGAGCACAGCCCCCATGGCCTTACCTGTGCACCAGACTTGGCCTGATTGCTGTCAAATCCACAGGGAGCTGCAGAGGTGGGAAATGACATATTTCCCATCCAAAGTGGGGGGTTTGGAAAGCTCAGAAGTCTCCAACTAAAAGCATTTCCATCAAAACCAGTGACACGCTGAAGGAGAAATGCTGGGAGTATCCAGGAGGCTGGAATTTCTCCTCCCTACACCTGCAGTAGGACCTCTGATCTCAATTTCCCTCAGCCATGAACTCTGTGCTCGTTTTCTCTTTCCTCAGTCACTGTATTAACCTGATTTTTTCCCACATTAGCACTCAAGTCACTGTGCTTCAGAATTTCAGGGTCTTAATATAAATGAAAACTAGGGAATTAACTTTTGAGTGAACAGTGATTTTTTTTAACTTGTCACCCTTAATCAATTATTATTTAACATACACACACAGATTCCAAAAGCTCCAGGTAAAAAATTTATCATTGACCTGGTTTCCTGTTTAAAAGAACAAAATAAAGCATCATGTGATTAAAAAAAAAAAAAATCTAAAAGCTTTTCTATGTATATTTAGATATGTATGACCTCCTCACATCTCTACTAGGACTAAACCAACTCAAATTAAATGTACCAGAGCTAAATGTTCCTTTGGTTTAGAAAGAATGACTTAACCTAGCAACAGGCAGCTCAAATTCCAGATCTGGCTGCTAGGGCAACATCTTCAACCCCTGGAACATCATCTGGCTGAGAAGGCAGATAAAATGGGATACTGTACTTATCCACAAGATGGAAAGCCCAAGCCCAGACCTGGGCTAGCAGAATTTATTAAAATTACATAGTATGACGGGATGTGAGTCATCTGCTGCAGCCCCACCTGTGTGTAAAACACAGAAATTTGCCATTTGACCCAGCTGACTTAGTGATCTCTGTGGACATTTGCAAGAACCATCATTTCATGGCTGCAAGATATAGAGTAAGTTCCTGAAACTGAGATTACCAAAGGAGATTATGTGAATAATGCCAGCAATCCCAGTCAATCACAAAACCTGGCCAGATCTAAATGTCACAGAGACTTTCTTAGTAAAGGAAAATTATGATACCTGTTGGGCAGAAGAAAAAGATGAGGCAAGATAAATAAAAAATGAAAATAAAAGTGTGCAGAGCCTCTCTCTGTACTCCCCAGATTTCTGGCCCTGCTGAGACAATGGATGTTGTGCATCTCCAGTATCTTCACTGCTTCCCCCCTGTGCTGCTGAGCACCTGTCCATGTACATGCACACCTCACTTGGGATGGTACAGAAGGATAAACACAATAGGATAATCACTGAAAAACAGGATAACTGCCAGCCTTTGGACATGAGGCACCAAATGCCACATTAATAAGTTCCCAGCAATTCTATCCTTTCTTCTTCCATCTGCAGCACTTCATTCAGAAGGAAGACTGCTCGTCCTGCTACCTCTAAGGTCATCTTGCCAAAGCAGACATGGAATTAATGAACACTTATCTAATTCCACCTAAAATGGAGGTAGTCAGCATCTGAGGGACTTCAGTGCAAAGTACCTGAGAAATGCTCTTCCTGACAAGCTCCTCTGCTGTGTCAATAAAACACCTTAGGAGAATACAGTGTTCCAGTTTATCACACAATATCTGGAAAGAGAGGGGGTGGGAAACAGCTGCAAGAAGCCGGAATCTGCAGGTCTTTAGGAGATCTTTTTAATTATCTGTGAGCCTGTATTTCTACCCTGCATACCCGGAAGGAGCTGGTGGGGATGCACTGTGCTTTCCTGGCTACCTAATGACACACAGAAACCAGGACTCATTTATGGACACACACATTTAGAGAGCTAGGGAATTACAGCTTGGAAATTCTTTTCTGGCCTGGATTTCTCCTGACTCTCAGGTCCATTCCCAGGCTGACAAGCTGACTGCAGCTTCAGTTAGGGAGGAAGTCTCCCAGGGTGATAACATGGTGAAAAACAGAGTGGAATTCATAATAAAGATTAACACCTGGTGTCTTTCCTGTGGGATACATCCTGAGGTGCTGTCCCAAGGATGTTTTTCCCAATTGTCCAATGAGCTCCTGTCCTGTCCTACCTGCATGTAACACACTTTAAATCCGGGCTGTCTGTATAATAAATTGGCCTTTTTTCCCCAAAGAGGTCCGTGTGTGTTGCTGTCCTTTCTCTCTCTCTCTGCAGCGCAGTGACCACACTCATTAAAAATCCCACCACACGCCAGCAGAACTTTGACTGGGAACTCTTCCTTTGTGCCCTTTCCATGGCCAATGCCTCAGCAGCAAGAGCAAAGTCAGAGCAGGGCCACTGTGTCTACTTGTCAGGAGAGCACAGCCAGACAGACACGGCTTGGAAACACCACAGCTGCTCCTGCTGGCTTCGACCTGCTAGATGTCTACCAGTGTCACACTTGGCCACCGTGGAAGGGAGAAATACTCTCTAGTGCAGATGTTCTCTGGCTTCTCTCAACTCTTTCTGGCCACTGGCACTCCTATGAAGTCACCAGATGTGATAGCTGTGTTCAAAGTGAAGGGGCAGATATAAAGCTGTAAGATTTCTGGTGAATTTTTGCTTCTTTATGTAGTTTTGGAGGTAGTTTCTTTCAGTTTCTCCTCTCTTATCAGCTACAAACATGCAGCCCAAGGATGCAAATGCCTTTGGTATATTCCCTTTATTCGCTCCTTGTATGGAAACCACATGGGAAAGTAAAATAAATACTAATGCTAGTAATCTAGCAATCCCAATTAGCTGTACTTCGTTTGATCTGCCAGTGCTTGACCAAATTTTGGCTAATCCAGTGCAGCAGATCCATTATGACTCATAAAGTTTTTGTAGCATTGGTAGATGTAAGTGCTCATTAAAAGTGAGGGCTGCTACAGCTGCCAGACTGGTCTGCAATTGTTGTACAGCAGAGCCTCACACCATTGTTCTAATTGCCTGCAAGCTCATTCCCCCTTGGCTAATTCCAATGTAAATCTGCAGGTCAGTATGACAGATTCATCCTCACCCTACAATACTAGAGGGAAA